CTACAGAGGGTATATAGCCAAAATTTCTCGGCCAAAGGCAATTTTTTATATTAAAAAAGAACTATCAAACCCTTTACAGACAGTATATAGCCAAAATTTCTCCGCCAAAGCCGAATATATGAATAAAAACCTGCCAAAAATGACGTTTTTGAGCCCTTTTTGAAAACTATTTGACAAAAGTTACGTTTTTATGGTGCTGGCTACACCCTTAAAGGTAGTTTATATCGGCGCTGAAGACGCCTTTGAAGCATTTTGCTGATAGTCAGCCAAAAATGGGTGTCAAAAATTGTACCAAAAGGGGGACCATTTGGTTGAAACTGGCAACCATAATTGAGGGGGTGGGGATCTCGGAACTCTACTGGTTCAATTGAACAGAAACAGGAAAAAAGTAGGCAAAAAGAATTTAAGAAAATTTCAAGAACATTAATATGAACTGGCGTACAATTGAGACTTCAAGACAAAAATTTTGAGGCATTTTTTTCCTCCGAAGTCAGAGAGCAAACCCCAATTTCTGCAATAATGTGATCAGAATGCTATACCTGACAATTTAAACTTACAGTCCATGAGATTTTAATAGGTCTGTTTGTTCCAATTCCAAACTCAGAGCGGAGCATTCTAACTCTGCTGTCAAAAGAAGGCTGGAAGCCATCTTCCGCTTTAATTTTAGAATTTTCCATTTTTAATTGGTTTTTTAAAATAAAAAACACGGTTTATGATATTTTTATGATTAGCAATGACTGAATAACTATATTTAGTAGCTGGAAGTATGATAGAAATTTTTAAAATGCTCGGAAATTTGTTACTGATTGAGTCTCTGGAAAACGAACACAAATGAGTTAATAAAAAAAGAATTATTCCACCTTTGTTTTCAATCTTAAGCACCAATAAAATCTTTTCACAACACTCCTGTATAATTGTTTCTAAAGTCAGTGTTCTTGAAAACAAAACAGGTGCAAAAAAGGTTCAAAGCAACAACCACTTGATCACCTGGGACTTTGTTCAAAAAAATTAGTGAGCAATATACTAAAACAGATAGCAAAAAAATTAAAATATAATTTGATTTCAAAAGTTGCATTTTTTTAATTCAGCATAAAATTTCAAACTTTTTGAATTTTCGAAAAGATTCTTAAATGCCAGATCAGACAGACTTAGAAAAAAATTTTACCAATCAAAAGGACGAAAAGGAATTTGGTTAAACAATTCACCCAGACCGAAGTTTCATGGATAATAATCGATTATATTGGATTTTCATTGTCAGACTTCAAATCGCTTGTAATCGCTTATAATCGAATAAAAATGGATTATAAAGCTTCTATTTTCTAAGCGATATAATCCCAATATAATCGATTATAATCGATTATTTTCAACTAGTTTTCAAAAAAATTTATCAAAAGAAAAATAATCATTTTTAGAAAGTTATAATGGAGTATAACCCATTTATTAAAATATTTAGGGGTAATGTTTTCTTTTTCTCATAATAATGTTAATTTTAAGTTGATTATCTTGTTTTCTCGCTAAATTTTAACTTTTTCCTAATTTCAGTCGCGTTTTTGAAAATTTATTTAAAGTCACGTTATTTTGTTATTATTTTAATGTGTAGGGTTCGTGTGGGTAGACTTTCAAAAAAAATCGAAAATTTAGTCGATTCATTTTCAGGTCGGCCAGATTGATTTTCTGAGCACTCATCCCACAACATTAAAAAGAACGTATTTTAAACAAATTTTCAGCGCTACAGATAAATTTCTTGAAAAAAACTGGTCAAAAAAGCAGTTTTTGGGCACTAATTGAAAAATTACTAATTATTGGCCGCCCCTAGATGAACGTGTTGGTTCAAGTTTTGAGGAAAGTTGCTACAAGTAGTTTCATTATTTACAAAATTTGATCAATTTTCATGGACTTTATGTACAAAAAGAAATTTATTATATTGAAATCAAAAATGGATTAGAATCGTTTATAATCGATTTTAATGGATTTTTGTTTTGTGAAAATAATTGATTAAAAAGGATTAAAAATCCATTACGTTTTCTAATTTTGCCATGATAATCGATTTTTTATACAACATACCGGTCAACAAAAATCCATTATAATCGGTCTTTATCCATGAAACTTCGGTGCGGGCAATTACTTTTAAAATTCAAACATTATTTAGTTTAAACACCCGAAGTAACGAATGATCAATCTCAAAATTTGTTGCAGGAAAAACTAAGAGAATGTTCGTTGCTGTGGTGCAAGTGGTACATGAAGTTCGACCTCAATAAAAAAAGACATTGAAACATTGAAAAACTCTTAACATTGAAAATCATTTCTTAATTGATACTGTTCCTATGTTTTCAGCTGCTTAAAAGAAAAAAAAAACTCCATTTTAATTGATTGATTGTAACCCATTTTTTCTCATGTTTTGTGAGCTATTTTCGTTTTTATGTAATCATTTAAAATTTAACTGATCGATTTATTTTGCAGTTTCACTCAATTTGAAACTTTTCCTAAATTCAATCGCCACTTTTGTAAAAAATTTACGTTTTTTTATGTAATTTGTTGAATTAATTGCGATTTTGTAATATGCTACATTTTCTTGTATAAGCTTTTTTCGCAAACCCCACAACGGGCACCAAGGTCCTCAACCCCCAGGATTACCCCCTAGTCACAGTTATCTATTTTACCCCCACTCGCTTACCCTCTTTACTCTCTCCATGTTGAACATGTGTGTGGGTGTGCTTGGACTGTGTGTGTGTTTTCATGGATTTCATGGACAAAAACAATCAATAACCGATTATGTTGAACACAAAAATGAGTGAGTTATAAGCAATTATAAGGTCACAGTGGATTTAAAGGAATTTTAATTTTTCGATACTAATCGATTATAATGGTTTATAATTTAATTGCATGGTCTAATTTGCCACAGGAACATTTGGTTTTTAGGCTTAGTTAAACTTTACATATTTTCGTATGTTTTTACGTCTTTAATACGTCATTTTGGGGAATTAGCTCAGTGTCTCTATGAAAAACAGTCGAAACGTCGAAAAACATTCAAAAAACAGTTAACAAAATAGTCGAAACATTAAGAAAAAAAATTACTTAACATTTCCTTTAGAGAAAAAAAATTGATTTTTTTCCCTTTTTAATACAATTTCAAATGGGATTGAGTTCGGACATTCTATTCTTGTTGCGCAGTAACCAGTTCAGACAACTTCTTGCTTCTCTTCCCTCGCGAAACAAGTATTCGGAGCCCATTTGAAATCTGTGAAGATAATCAAAAAAGGAAAAGCATCAAAAATTCGGATAAAAAAACTAAAATTTCAATAAAAATGAAAAAAAAAGTTTGAGCAATCTCTTACCCTTTTTCAGGAAAGAAAAATTATTTTCGTTGAAAATGATGCAAAACAAAAGATAATGAAATGGTGTTGTATGTGCAACTCAATGTAATCTTGAGTACTCAAACTTAATGACAACTTTTCATACGTTTTCTGAGGTTCATAATTGAGTTTTTCGCTATATTTTCCACTGATATAATACTAAATATTTAAAGTTTTTGACAATTTCGAAATTTACTACCCCCCCCCCCCCTCATAAATTTCAAAAGTTAAGTGCCAATAACTTTTTCGAGGTGCCAAAATGATGATTCTTCTGGATGGGGGTTGTTTTTACTTAATTACGATCAAAAGTTTTGTGGAAACAGAGATTTCGGGGAAACAGAAAAGACCCGAGAATTTTGAGTCTACCTTTGTTGTTCTGACTTCATGCGACTCCCAAATAATGGTATCATCGTCATCTGCACATCTTCTCTCAACCTGAGCTGGA